CTAATCAATTTTTCTTTTTACACATTTTTCGATATTGTCAAAATTAATGGTACTCCAATCTTATGCAAAACATCATATTTTTTGACAAACCAAGTACATGACTGAAAACAACTTGATATCTGCTATTCTGATGGTTATTTTATCTTTGAGGCTATGTAGAACTTTTTATGAATAACTTTTTTTTTATTTTAAAATTAAAAAGTTTTCCAACTTAAGTTGTATAGAACTATTCGTGGTTTATTACTGTATTGTGAAAAGATTTTTTGTTTTGTTTCGTTTGCTCTTTCTATCTATAAATTTTGTTTTCTTTTTATCATCCCGCTTACATTTTTTATGTTTTTTATAATATTTACACAAGCACATAAACTGATTTTTTTTTAAATGAGATGCTACCTAAAAATTAAACTATAGCTATAATAATTCTGTTATAATAATTGTCACCAAATATAAAATGTATATATCTTCGAATTACCGTAAACATTCCATAATAACCAGGAAACCACTCACAGCTTACGAGTATGTTATTCCTTCCTCAGTTACACTTTTAATCCTAGAATTATCTTGAAATTACATTCTGAAGAGGAGGGTATTCAATTCACCGAGTCGGCTTTTTCCAACAAATCTAACAACAATACAATAGACACCAGACAATAGTTGACACTTTCAATACAGCAAATATTTGCTGGTGTCGCTCTCTCAGTCTCTTCCGTCGTTGCTCACATAATGCTGTCCTTTTCGTTTGCAGCAGCTGTCCGTGTCATTGTCGAGAGTTGTTATGTTACATCTATTAAAATAGACTTTCGCATTGTACCTGAAGTGGCATACTTCATTAAAATATTTATGTGATACTGCAGGGGAAGCTTTTAAGTGAGATGGGGATTTTGCGGTAGAGGTAGTTTGGGAAATCGATTTTTAACAATGCTGAAAGTTTGAAATGTATCAGAATAACTGGTTCTTCGGTGTTTGGAATCGGAATTCCGTTAAATTGAGTATAGAATTTCATATTTTAAACTTGATACGTAATAAATTTATATTTATATTTTAGTTGTTTGATATAACTATTTCATCAGGGCCAGACTTAACAGCTTACATCTAAGGCTTAGGCGATAGTGTGGAAGATATATTAAAGAAAAAGTAGTACATTTTACATCAGGAGATACACTTACAACAGCTTAAGATAACTGACAAAAATTAAAAACTAGAGCGAAAAGAATAGCTCCGAGATAGCTTGCAACAGAAGAGAGATGCATTTTGAGAATATTATTATCTGAAAGTAAAACTATATAAATAATTTAACGCAAGAAAACTATGAAAATCAAATTTAACTATTTGTAGAAAATATTGATTTATGCCTATTTGTATAATATTTAAAAACATCAAGAAATCAAAATTACTGTGTTATTGATTTAGAATATTTTAAATGACTATTTTTTCCTTTTAAAAAGAGTAGGAAAAAATGTTTTACATTAACAAATATTTTTTAATAAATAATAATTTTGAATGTTGTTTTTTAAACATAATTTTATTTTTCGTGGATGTGTATTGCTGCGTTTATTTATCCACATCGCATGTATCCGACATGATGTGATTTTTTGATGCTCTAGATGTATTGGTCAGGTAATAAAAATGACAGTCAAATTTAAGTATGAAAATAGTGAATTTAATATATTATATCGTAGATGGGATTTAAACCCAGACATCTTTGTTCTGTACACAAATGCCCTACCTCTAAACCATGACAACATTGACAGTCGAGATCCCTTGATGGCAGTTTTATGTGCTAATTCGCAACAAGCGCCGTTTCAGGCTCGTTCTAAAATCTTCAAATACCTCTATACATCATCGGTGTACATAAGAAATGCATCTCGTTAATCAATATCTTCATGGTCTAGAGGTATGGCCTTTGTGTACAGAACAAAGAGGTCGAAAATAAATCATGATTCCTATACTTTCCTTCTCTATGCAAAAAGGAAAGTAATAATAATGACATGTTTGACAATCTCCACTATCAGCATCTCATTTCAAAAACAGATGTAAAAAATGTAATCTGGACAACTACATCTCGAATAAACAAATGCAAATGCAGACAAAGTAGGTGTCCCCGATATGAATATAAACGCCCAAGAAGTAAAAATAAATCGGCTGTGGATGTTCTACCCCAACATTAGTGTAGACATCTATATGTAACGTGGAGTCATAAAAATCGTTTACCTGTCTCTAAGGCCTTAATCCTTCCCTGTGTTTCATGTATCTGAAACGTTCTAAAACCCTACGTCAATCAGAAGAGTAATGGTATTTTAACTACGACAGTCTTAAAGGGTTTGCAAGAAGGCACTTATCTCAGATAACATAAAAAAATTAAGACTTGAATAAATATTTGGTGATAAATTCTATCTTAATTTTTATACATTTATATTTAAATAACGTAAATTTACATTATACAAGATGTAAAAAGAAGCTAAATATATTTCTATGCTCGATTCTTTTTTTAGTTTTATTTTTTTGTAAAAAAAATTATATAGATATACTTATCAAATTCAGTTTAATGACATTAAAGATTATATAAATACAATTGAATTTAAGTAGATATAACAAAATTGGCTATTCTTAATTGGAGAACAAATCTTCTTCACGGGTCTCATATATAGTTCAGTTGTAATTTTTAAAGAACAAATATCTCTTACAGGTAAGTTTCTTTGATTAGAAAAAGGTTGAAGAAGTTTTTCGTGTATAAACTGCTCATCCAAACGTTAAATGACCTGTTACCTACTCTTCTTGAAGAAGTTATCATGAAAAAACACTTGTTGGAGTGATCTTCTGTAATCGGAACAACGTTTCATTTTAAATAAGTACGGACTGATGAATCATAAACTTGAAATGCACTGAAAGAATTTTCCAATTATAAGAATAAGCATAGATTTACTTCTATAATCCCAAAAACTCATAAATTCCAATCGCCTAACAAATCAAAACAGCTCCGTGCTCGCGCGGATTTATATTTTAAGCTCTTTCAAATGAAAATGCAATAATTCCAGTTGTCTAGCACCAATTCTAAATCACAATCAGCTCGAAACCAATCAATTCTTCCTACGATTGCGGATTGTGCTCAACCTAAATCATTTGAATTAATAATTAACTTGATATGCTGACAGAGTGTGCTACATGGATCGCAAATTACCTTTCAAATAATACAAATTTACTGTCACTTCGTTGGTGTATGTGTAGCCGCATACGGAACATGTCACAATTATCATTTTTTAGCTTGCCCAATATGGATGTATTGGTTCTATAAGTATTTCAAGAAGAGAAGAAATATTAATGATCTAACTTATTACAAAGTTAAAAGTGCACCGAACATTTCTTTAGGCCAATGTGTACCCATTTGTTGAGTTATGTAGACATGTATACAAATTCTTTTTTTAAATATCTGGTGTACATTTTATTAAAATAGTAGGTAAAATAATTCATTAAAAGGCAATATATTAATGCATTGTTTTAGTAATATTAAGGGTGCTCGAATAGTGTAAAGGATGATTATGTAGTCAATTCTAAACAGGAAAGTTGTCGATTTCCAGGTTTTACAAAGGTTTCTACGGGATTTATACTTATCTAAATATCTTATCGGTAACTTAATTTACTAAAATAATAATAGTATAATGTTAATATCATAATAATTAGTAATTTTAGATTATCGTATATTTAAGTAGAAAATAGATAATTTATGTAGGGGAGATGGGGGTAAGGTGGGGATGCTAAGTATTTAGATCGATAAAAATGGAACCAAACAATCAAAAAATAAAGTTTATTCTGAAAAGTATTTTTACAACAAACATAACCAATTTGGCATACAAATAATCTGCTTCACTTAAACTAGAAAAATGAAAAGAGCATTTATTTAAAATAGCAACAAATCCCATCTTACTCCCATGTACGGGGCAAGATGGGGTACTTCTCGGGGTAAGATGAGCTTATAGCTTTATTTACAAACATCACATGTATAGTCAATTTCTGCAGGTTCATCTTCGTCTACTTCTGCACAGGAATTGTGGGACCACTTGTGACATTCTTGACACGCAACCCATCCTTCGGTGGACTCAATATTTGTCAATAAAGCTTTCACACACGTCAGGTTTTGAAGTAAATGTGTTACCCCATCTTGCCTCCTGGCCCCGTCTTACCCCTATCTCCCCTACAAGTATAAAATTTTCCAGTTTTCCCGAATACTTGTTTAAAATGAAAAAGAAGATGAAAATTGTGGCTCGTATCTCTGTTTGTCATGGCCTACTTTAGAAATATGTTTGTGAATCACTCGTTAGCATTACGTAGAATTTTGACAGCTATCAGTTTCTCTATGTAATTCTCAACATGTTAAACTTTATAGAGAGTTATGAACACAATGTCACAATTCGCTTGGTATTTAAGAATACGCAATTATAAGTAATAAACTATAATTTAAAAATAAACAAATTGTTTGTTAGTTACTTTATACTACGTGTCCATAAATATATGCTTATGTAGTCTTATGGTTCTTAAAAGTTAATTTTAACTAATCCTACTTATAATGCGGAGTCCCAATCAATTAAAATAAAATCCTCCAATATATTAAGGATTATTAATAAATAACTTTTGAACGAAGTGTTAGTCCGCCGACACGTGTTTGGGGGCCACACGCGTGTGCGGCCACGTGCCGTGAAGTTTGCATCAACAGCATTTTGCTTCCATTACAAGAATGAATGCATTAAGGACACTCATAAAAAATAAGTTGACTTTTTTCAGTAAGTGAAAATAATATGTTCAGAAAATGGATTGTTTTTACCTAAAAACAGTTTTACTTGTTAATTATTGTAGTAAAGACAATGCCACATAAACACACGAATACACACAGTGAAAAAAATATTTGATCACCTAAATGCGCTAAACTCTTCTGATGAAATTTTAATAAAAAAAATATATAAATTAATATCAAAATTGTTTTAAATAACGTTCATATTTTGTTGCAGGATTGTAAGAAACAAAGCTGCCGAGAAAGCAAAGCATGCGCACCAAATAGCGACAAGTAATGCTGCCTCATCAGTTAGTGGAGGACCTGTATCTGTGATCGCGCATGCGCCAGCAACCCAACTGAACGAACCCAGATCGGGGGCTTATAGTATTAATGGTATTTTAGGTTTACAACACGATCCAAATGGCAATAGTATAAAGAGAAAAAGGATAGACGACCATGGTGAGTACCTTTAAAGTATTGTTTTTTAATAGTGTAACTTCGAGGGTATATGATTTGTTTGAAAAGGTTTAGGATTAAGCAGATACATTTCAATATAACTCTAGATAGAATCATAGTAATTTTACTGATAAATCTTCTGAATAAATTCTCCTTCGCCCATTGTCACTATCTCAAAAATTCTTTGGAGACATTGTGGGGTTAACAATTTAATTCATGGATAATGTGTCCCAACTAAAATAATAGATATATTTAGCGAATATAATATGAATACAGATATAAGAAACGAAAGAACTATTATAAGTGGACCTAGCAGATGATAGTAAGACGATTTCTAAACATAGGTGTTACTTAGTACAAGAAAAAAGTGAGAAGCCTCTCACATCACTGATTGAAAAACGATATCGATTATGATACAGAACAAAGTATTGCGCAACAAAGTGAACGCTCCTTGGTATGTGCGCAATAATCTTCATCGAGACCTTGGGATTCCAACAATAAAAGAGAAATTAAAAAGTTTGCTGACAAGCATGAAGGCAGACTTCTACATATCAATGCAGAAGCTCTTTAGCTGCTGTATAATCAGGACAATATCCGACGATTGAAGAGAACCGAGCCATTTTATCTCTTATAGTATGTTGTGTATGTGTGAAAGAAGAGCACAGTGCGTAAGTGACTTGCGTGTAGTATTCAGAACAATCTAATGAAGATCGTCAGATTGATTTTAGTTGATAAGTACTTGGTTTAAGATTGTTTTAGAAAAAAATTGATGGTTAGTTTACGAGACTAGTTTTAGTAGAAGGTAAACCATAAGGAGTCAAATTAAAAAAAAGATTACGATAATAGTAATCTAACACAAAACAATAGTTTATTACATTTGGGGGGCCAAACTTTATAGGGATTCATAAGCACAATATAACAAACCGCTTACCAGAAGAATTCTTTCCGTAACAGGTATGCAAAAACACTAAGAAATTTCTCTAAAATTCTATATTAGAGAAACCTAACTTTATAGGATATAGTTCTTGGACTTGTTCTAGCTTTACTTCATTATTAATAATGTAGGTACATTAGCAATCCAATCTATAATTATTGATTTAATGGACAGGCAGTTCTGGAGACGATTACATAGTTCAGAACCACCTCACTAGAGGTATTGAATTCTTTTAGGATAGAGAAGTAATAAAAACTTAGTCTGCTTGCCTGGACATAACATCTTTGCGATGAATAAAGAATCTGATAAAATTTTTAGAACAGGTTTAAGGTATCCTTTCATGCAGTCTATGACTAATTTTACGAAGCTACATTAGCCATATCAGTAAATGGTTCAGAGAGATCACTATTAGGTTAATGAAACGACATAAATACCATAAGGATTGCATTAGGACTTCTGATGGATCACCGACTGATAAATAATAATCTAAATACTATTGATAATAATAGATCCTTTTAAAGTATCGAACTAGCAATGAGTGTCATCTATATTATCTGTACTCATTATCTGGAATAACCTCTCTGCTTACCTTATAGTTGGTAATTTTTAATAGAATCGATGCTAATTTTAAAGCTAGGTTTATTTACACTTATACCTGAATGGAAGAATTAAAGAAAAAATATTTAAATTAAAATTAAAGCAAGTCAAAAAACCAGAAAGTATTAGTAACATCAAATTATAGAAATGTCGGTGAGATGACTCTTGGTAGTACAATTGGTATGTGTTATGTCCGTATTATTTATTAAAAAATATAAGTCGTAAATTCCCTTGTTCCTTATTTGAAAATTATTAAAAGCGAAACCCGCCACAAATCACAGTAATCAAGCAAAGGTTGTTTGAAGAAAGAATATTTAAATTTCCCCAGAGATCCCTTTTCCGCGGAGCTTCCACATTTTCCGTGATATGGCGAAGTATTGCGTAAACATATGCACGATCGGGGTTTCGAAGGTTTTCGGGGGTTTGGCGACGCGGTTCATTCAGGGTTGCTGCCGTGGGGGTTTCGCGGTCGCGTAGCAACGCGTGTGATGTCTTCATAATCCGACACCGGCGCTGATTGGTCAGAGAGGAGGCGGAAGGCCGCACTCACTTGTTTCACGCTGATGCGATTTACACTAAACGCGATATAGCATTGTGGATTTCCTAATCACAAAGTCGAGTCGCTTCGATTTCCGCTTTACCTGAATTTTCTGTAGAATTGTATGTCATATGACCATGACATTATTTCTACAATATTACTTTATAACCATATTATAAACACATACAAAGTATTTTTAATATATCTTTGTTTAATTTAATGTTTATTTAATTTTCGAAATAAAACGGCCGGGGCATTCGGACTAAAAATTATTCCTAGACTTGTGTCCCAAAATGTATAACTTGCTGCCTCGCGATATTAAGGTATATATAAGGCTATCCTAATTTAAACAAAAAATAAAATATTATTGTCGTTCGAGCTATTTTCGACCATTTGGACCTTTAACGGCCTCCATTTATCCGTTACTAAGAATATTTGATAAAGCAAGTAAACCTATGTAACCTTCTATGTACGCCTATAGACAATGTCACTCGAAGTACTAGATTTTTCTAGAATTACGAGAAGCTTCTAGATACATCGATTTTGGTGGATACACGTTAATAAAATGGTGGGTCTGTCGATGTATATTCTAAGCTGTGCCGCCATTTTTTTCGAAATATATCTAGAACATTCTAGAAGACCATGTTAAGAAATCGTTCAAGTACGCATTAGGCGTGTCCGTTTTTACTATTTTATACTTTTTTGGAGGCTTAACGCGGAAAGTGTACAAAGTAGTTTGAGATAAATTTGTTCTGCCTCCAGGATGTAGTGAAAATTTCGAAAAAAAATAAAATTGTTGTTTAGAGTTTAAAATCAAGTAATAAGTATTTGTTTTAATCAAATTAAAATCTATTATCGTCTACTTAAGAAATTTAATTATATTTAACTCTCGTTACATGTGTTAAGTATGAAGTGTGAGGGGAGAAGGAAGGGAGAAAATATCAACACATCGAAAGACGTCGAGAAGCTTCAGTTCAGCAGTGCGACTTCTTGAGTTTGAGGGTTGTTACTGTTGCGCTCATTAGCGCATTTTAAGATGGATTGTACTCATGAAAATGTCCTTTGTTTGGTGATACATATGTGATTTAAAAGACAATTTGTTGCAAACATACGAAGATGTCATTACGTTCTATAAGTGGAGTCATCGCCGAATAAAACTGAACCAAGATACAAAAAAAAAGTCCACGTATAAGGAAATAAAAGCCATTGTGGTGGTAAAGGTTGCAGAAATATGGAATAAAGCTTATATTCCTACTATACAACATAAGAAGTGTGATTAATGTTAAACTTATATCACCTTAAATGTAAAATCTCCTAAAATCCCATCCAAAATTAATAAAGAAGATTTCCGCCACGCCAGAATAGTTTTGTTTGCTATTTAATCCTACAACCATGAGAAAAGGCTTATTTTTTCAAGTTCAACTCATTCCTGCGGAGTTACGTGTACAAAAAGGGCAACAGAAATGATATTACAAATTATAGACCAATTGCTATTATCTGCAATTTTAGTAAAGTATTCGAAATTACAGTTACCAAATTTCTCTATAGGCATATTGAAAATTCAATTTTACCTGAACAACATGGATTTGTTCGTGGGAGGTCTACTGTTACCAATCTAGCCATTAAAACTCAATTTATCAGCGAAATATTGGATCGCGGTGGGCAGGTAGATGTGATCTACACTGACTTTACGAAAGCATTCGATCGCCTTAGTCATCCCATTTTGTTATCAAAGTTAAATATGTTGAATTTATCTGATAATGTACTATCTCTCCTTAGCTCCTACTTAAGTAACCGTTCTCAGTATGTCCTTATTAGTGGCGTTAAGTCTCGCTTGATATCTCAAGTTTCTGGTGTACCCCAAGGTTCCATTTTAGGGCCTTTATGCTTTATAATCTTTACTAATGATATTTGTAAGAATATTAATGTACAATATTTACTCTACGCTGATGACTTGAAGCTTATTTCAATGATTAATAACAACAATGACTGTATCGTAATGCAAACCGATATAAACAAAATTCAAAACTGGTGTATAAATAATAGGCTCATGTTAAATCCTGCAAAATGCAACGTAATGTCCTATACGCGAAAGAGTGACTGCATAAGATACGATTACAATATAGGAGGTGTCGTCCTCCAGAGACCTGACACGATTAAGGACCTCGGTGTTGTCTTCGATTCAAAACTTACATTTGTTAATCATTTGGCCATAACTGTCGCATCTTGTTATAAAGTTCTAGGTTCCATTCTACGATCTATCAAAGATTTTAATAATCTAGATACGTGCAAATTGTTATTCTGTGCCCTTGTTAGATCCAAGCTTGAATATGCCTCAATAATATGGTCCCCTAATTATAATGTGCACGTTTTAACTTTAGAAAAGGTTCAGCGACGTTTCCTTAAGAGTCTTCATTATTATTTTCATGGAACTTACCCTAAGAGGGGATACCCACAAGACCAGCTTTTAACAATGTTTGGAATGCAGAGCTTATTTCAACGAAGAATTATATCTTCAATTATTTTCATTTTTAAAATAATACACCATTTAATTAAATGCCCGGCTTTATGTGCTCAGCTTAACTTCCTAGTTCCAAGAATTAATTCCAGGTACAGCTGCACATTCATTCTTCCCACTCCCAGAACAAACTTATTATGTCAGTCTCCATTGTACCATATGCTGTCCACAGTTAATGACTCGAGTAAAGAAATTGATCTATTTTGTACTACCATCTCAAAGATTAAAAAACTTGATTCCTGATTTATATCCATATATTCCTAATTCAAATATTTAGTGTAATGTAATTTAGTGTAATTAAGTTTTTTATGTTTTTGTATCTAATTTCATCTTTATATATTAGTTGTTTCGCATGCGATATGTGTGAGTAACCTTTTTTCTCCACTGGAGTTTTTTTCAGATTACTCATACAATCT